TTAAAATTTTTCTCATCAAATATCTCCTACAAGAGATCAATATCCAAAATATATAAAGAACTCATACAATTCAACACCAAACAAACAATTCAAATAAAAAAAAATGGGGAGAAGATATGAACAGAAAATTCTCTGAAAAAGACATACAAATGACCAACAGATATATGAAAAGATACTCAGCTTGACTAGGTATTAGGGACACGCAAATCCAAACTACAATTAGATGAGTGGCTTAAAAAGCCGTGGTACATTTACACAATGGAGAACCATGTTGTAAAAAAGTATCTCTTACCTTTGAGAGAGCATGGAGGCACCTGAAAAAGTGTTATGCTAAGTGAAATAAACTAGTCAGACAAGTAGCACATGATTTCACTTATATGTGGAATCTAATGAGCAAAAGAAACTGACAAGCAAAATAAATCCAAAGACATGTAAGCATGCAACATACTGACCAGTCTCAGAGGGAAGGAGAGATGGGAAGAGATTAACCAAAGAACTTATATGCATGTGTGCATAACCCATGGACACAGACAATAGTGCAGCGAAGACCTGGTGAGGGCTGGAGCAGGGTCAATGGGGGAAAAATACGACATCTGTAAAAAAATATTTCAATGAGATGCCACCGGATCCTTGTTCAAATGGCTATTATCAACAAGACAAGTAATAAGTGTTAGAGAGTTTGTGGTAAAAAGGGAACCCTCATTCTCTGCTGATGGGAATGGAAACTGATACAGCCACAATGGAAAACAATACGGAGATTCCTAAAACTATTAAGAATAGTGTTATCATCTGACCAAACAACTGTTCTTCAGGGTATCTACCCCAAAATTTGAAAACATTTATTCATTAATATATGCACACCTGTGTTCATTGTAAATGGCATTATTCACAGTGGCCAGTCAATGATTGGATAAAGAAGACGTGGTACGTATAAACAATGGAATATTACTCAGCTATAGAAAAGATGCAACACTGCCGGTTGTGAAAACATGGATAGATCTTGAGAATGTCATGCTAAGCTAAATAAATCAGTCAGAAAAAGTTAAGAACCATATGATTTCACTCATATGTGGAATGTAAAACTGAAAGCAACAAAAGTTGTCTCTGTCCATAAGTCTTTCGAGTGCTGTTTGAAATGTCCAAAATAGCATTGACCTTTACCAGTTCCTTTTTAAGGTTAGTATCATAAAAGACAGAGATCCTTAAGTAAAATGTTATTTTTCTTGAGTCTAAGGATGACAGGTGCTGCCTTTATGTCTTTATAGTGCAGCACACACCTCTGATGGAGATCAAAAATGGTACTAAATCTTGCATAACCCAGCAACCCTTGGGATTATGTTGCTAAGAGTCTTCTGCTCTTTGTAAATTTTCCCTTAGCAAACTGGGATGAGGTAAATATTCAGTCAAAAGATGATCAAATTTTAAACTAGTGAAAACTGTTGTGACTAGTGATACTAAGCGCAAAATATACTGGTAACAATAGGACAATTTGACCTACAAGGATAGATTCACATTCTTAGGCATATAAAACAGGTTTCACTTGTGAAAATATTATGCTTGTGATCATATGAGATGTTTAAAGATAGTGTGGGACTGTTTTATGGGTGATCCTTACCCAGTCCAAATACTTTAGGAATATATATGGGTTAACATGACTGTTTTTTGACTATGCCAGATGGTAAGACCTTTCCCGATAACTTTTGTTACAAAACTACCCAAAGTGGTGAATGTATTGGGCAGATGTGATGGGTATTGATATGTCATAATGAAATAATGATAGTATTTATATTCTTTCTGGATAACAGATGGCTGATATCACACTGCTTCAGGTATGAAAGGAAAGGCTCAATATATGACATTGTTGAAGCAGAAATACATGAAGATAACATTCTTGACTATTAAAATAATCTCACAGATTTTATGTTGGAATTTTTAATGATGATGCTTTGTTAACTGCCAGGGACATTCACTAAAAATACCAAACCAACTCAATGGTAAACTGTAATATCAAGAATTTGGTGCATAATGAGTTAAGCAATACTTGGGAGTGAATTTTTTTAAATAAATTGTGTCAAGCAGACTAGGCAATTGAGTAAAAAACAGCTGCATATCAACGTAACACAATACTCTTTTATGTAGCTGGAAAATAATCTATGGGCTACACTCTCTAGGGCTCTATCTAAAGATAGTGAAACCTTTATCATTGAACACTCAACATTCACAAAGTGATGGGCGGAGCACTTCAGCGCAATGCACAATTAGCCATCAAGTTTGCCCTCCTTATATTCACAATATTCTCTCATTATGAAGTCAGTATAGGACATATTTATTTTGCCTATTATGAAGGCAAAGAACCATCATCATCTGGTAGAGTACCTACTGTTAAAGGAGTCCTTATAAAAATAAAAAATAAAAACAAAAAGCAACAAAAGCATCAGCCAAAACTCATCAAATGATTGCTTCAATTATTTAACCAGTCATAAAAGAAGAAACAGGTGCATTTTGAAGGTGCTTTAATTATACAAACTCAAGAGGAGGGTAGAAAATATTGCAATAACCATTGAGGTGTGTAATTTGTGTATTATAGATATGATAACAGTACAATCCACATAGATCAATTACCCTCAACTTAGCATACATTTCAAGCATGTCTAGAATAAGGATAATATAAAAGAAGAGAATTGCAAAGCTTTTGTGCAGACATGGAACTGTGACAAATGTGCTATCTAAATAGCAACTTTTTGAAAGGTATTGTATATTTGAAACATTAAGGATTTCATTAAAATTTTATAATGTAATAATAATGCAAATTATATCCTATGTAACTGGTCGTCAGGTATTAACATAATGCAAAATTATATTTTAAACTCTGAATGCAGTGAATAGATAGTATATTTTAAATAAGAGGTTTATTAATACTTATTGGCTATTATCTATGTAGTTTCTGAATTAAGTATTTTCCAAGCTTTGAAGTGATAGTACAGTATGCATTTTGTTAACAATCACTTTCTATATTACTTTTCCTCAAAATGTTTCCTTTGTGGCACTTTATTGCCGTTAAGTGGAAGAACTGGTTTGAACTGTAACAATGATTAGGAACATCACATGTCTCCTTTCACCAGATGCCTGGGAATATAGACATTACAAAACCTGAAAGGAACTCTATGTCAAAGAGTAAACCATAAAAACAGTGATACTTAGTTTGAAGAACTAACATGACACTCAGGCAACTAGATTTGGGCATATAGATTTGAAACGTGTACCGGTATATCTTTTTAAATAATAAACACTGACTTAATAGAACTGTTTTTGAAGATTCCTAATAGTAAAAAAAGAAAAGAAAAGAAAAAAAACCTTTCACTTAATTCACTTTTATAATAATAGATGATTTTTTATTTATCTTATCTATTGGAATCTCCACAAATATCATGAAGGATAAGTAGAGAAGAAGATACATCTGTTAGAGATGAAAGAACTCAAGTTGTGTCAGAACCCAAGTTGTGTCAGAACTCAAGTAGCCGAGGTCAATAGTGGGGCTGGGACTGCAACCCAGAGCTCCTGAAAATAAATATGTGAAGTTCCTAGTGCAGTGAAAGATCTTTTTTATGGCCTGGATGAAAGACATATCCCTCCCCGCAGCACCCCCTCCCCTCAACTAACCCAATGCTCTTCCATTACATGGCACTGCCCAGTTCTGCAGCAGATTTAAATAATATATAAAATAACTGTAGATGGAAACTTGAATGAAACTGAAATAAAGAAAATAGAATAAGCCTTTAGTCATAATAATTACTGCAAATAAGAGTAATCCAGACATTCTTAATGGTAGAGATTACCATTCTATCTATGATAACAAGGCTTCATTCTTTAACTGGAATGTTTTGTAACAAAAACTAGTAACTACAAAATAAGTAAAAGTAACTACTCAAGTAATATCACTTGACAAATGTTTTTTGAAGAAAAGAGCACATGAAAGAATACATCTCTATTGGTGAATGCATAAATAAAAATGGTAATGCGGTAAAATTGGTCATGACAAGTATAAAATAATATCAAGACATTGGAAAGTTTTTGCTAAGGTTAATTCATTTTAACACATTTTGAAAAAAATATTTAATGTATCCTAGCAAATCTTACTCATTAAACCAGGAATCTATTCCTTTTTTACTTCTATGCTTTTTCTCCTTGGAATACAATTTTATATTTAGAAATGCTTGGTCAAAAGACATACAAAAATTTTAAGCTTTTTTCTTGCTAAGCTTTAATTTATACATCTTTATCCTTAATTTAAGGATAACTGAGTAAAACATGAAAATCAATACATTTGTTCTGCAATTGTATATGTTTTATTATTACATACTATTTCCTTTGCTTTCATATTTTGTTTATTCTACATATTATTTGGGTTTGTTGGCCTTGGCGATAGGACTTTTCTTACAAATTGTACTGACAAAACTGAGATTGGTCAAATAGCAGTTCAGGAAGATAAAACAAGTGAATTTAGCTTTACAACAATATGTTAAACATTCAAAATATACTTTGACTAAGAAATATTAAGATGTCATCATTTTTTTTTCTGGCTAGTAATATTTTCAGCTTATTCTTTCTGAAAGCTGGCTGGTCCTTGACAAGTGTATTTTGATAACATAATTCAGTAGAGGACTTCTCTAAATTATATGAGGATTATGATCCTTGTACTCAAAACCTAAATTGTACACAAAGAATTACGGCAAGGCTGAAATTTCTCATTCCTACAAAAATTCTTAAATTTTTTTCTTTAAACCTATCTCTCTTTATCAGTGCCTTTGATGGGGTGAACTTTAGTCTGGCTTAGTTGTACAAACACAAGGTCTACATCCTGTCTTAAAAAAACAAACAAAAGAAGAATGTAACCACTTTCATGCTATTATTAACTTGATCAATTTCAAAGCACATCACCTTTCAAAAATAGAAATAAACAGATTGAATTTAAACATTATGCGCATTTAGATGAGACTCACCTTTAAAGAATCAAAACAAGCCACCACACGGCCATTTTCCACATGGCAATCTCTTGGTGGATGGGCAAACTTGCAGTCTACATCAGCACGAGAACAGGTTCCTCTCTGAAATTCTCTACAGACTTCTAAAGTCAGCCACATGGTATCACGAATCAGAGCAACATCAACAGCGGTCATATCAAAGCAAAAATAAAATAAAGTGCACCCTCTCTACCACAGCATTACCGCTGTTGTTAAAAGATTAAAAATGAATTCAAGCTAAATGTAAAGAGATCACAGTTTGCTTTGGTGAAATCTTTCTTCATTAGCACTTAGGTTTTCATTTCCGTAAAATTAGGTCCAGTCAAACAAAAAGCCAATCATACAACAAAAATTGTATCAGAATAACTAAAAACCAAATTAGAAACCAACTTCTAAGAAGGCAACCATAAAGGTTAAAATATTGAGTGTTTTATTTTGTTCTTCTGCCAAAGTTACTTCAAATAACTGGTGGACTTTCAAAAGAATTATGTGGTCTTCAGTTGATGTTTTCAATTATTTTGGCAAAAAGCATATGCTGTTGGCTGTCCTTCAATTTGTGAAATGGTCTCAGTTCAGGGGGAGAAAAGCTTTTCTCCCTATTTTTTGGCTTTAATGACTAAGATTGGTAAGGATGTTACAATTGTAAAAAAAAAATGCTGCAAAATCAGGATGAGGGAAATTGACTATGAAAAACTGAGAATCAAAGAAATAAAAAGAATTAGCACACTAGGTTCTGAGTGGTGGTGGTGGTGGTAAGGAGAGGAGTTTATAAAGAGACAGCTCTAAAGTGGAATCAAAGCGGAAGAGCTTTCAGAAAAGACACCTCAGAAACCTGCAAGGAAAACAAAATAAAATTAGCAAATATCATACAATGTTTCTGATTTAAACTCTAGATTTAGAAAAGAAGTAACTATATCCTATTTAAAACAGGAAGCATCTAAATACTGACAGTGCAATACACTTCAATTAGCCATTGTCAATAAAATGTGAATTTCCCAGTGTAGAATTGTGCATAGTGAAAGGAAGCAAATACTTAGAATCACTGTTGTAATACAAGACTAAGCAACAACCCAATTTTAAAAAGAATTCTTAATTTTGATCTGTTTGGGGTAAGAAATTCATTCTTGGGTCTACTGCACAGAAAATCCCAGAGCCTGACATGAGAGACTCTTACACAGTTATGATGCACCTGTGCCTCTCAAGTTTTTACAGGCTACCACAGACCTGTCTTTTAACTAGCCTTACTACATTCTGATGGAAGGCTCGATTATATGCTCTCAAAATCTAGAAAACAGGAATTGTTAAGAAAATTTATGTTGCTCTATGAGGTAACTCTGTGTGTACTTGATATGTAATTGTTCATGATCACATAAAATGGTCATGACATAACTAGCTATAGACCCACTGAAAATGAGGCAGGATAAAGGCTAGAAATGTAACATGTGTTTCACATAAAGAAATACTTTAAAAAGATGCTGGGTTTTTTCTGTGTATGGTATATTAGTTATTAGTCTCCATGAAGGGATATTGGAACAACTTAGAAAAAGGTTTCTGCATGTACAAATAAGTGAGGCAGAAAGCACTGTTCATTCATACATTCAATATTGTGCAGCTTTAAGGTTTGCATTTTAACCCAGTGACAACAGCAACAAATTCTAGCAATTCCGCTGATAAGGCAGACGAAAGGTTAATTTACTGGCAGTATGCCATGAACACATACTGAAGTAACAAGGATTTTCTAAAGCAAAAGTAAGCACTGAGTATGAGACAAATCAACTAATTGTTAACTTTATCAAAAAAGTAGAATCAATTCTTTAGATTTTTTTAATTTACTTTTTTAAAACAATGTCTTTATAATTTCGTAGAATCAAATTTTCTATTTGTTTTTTCCACATTTAAGATGAAGTTCAATATCACATAATTTTTCAGGTGCCAATGGGAAATTAAGTATCTAGAAAATCCATGTATACTTATCTATTCAAAAGCAAAGGGTGAGTTTCTTGAATCATTCTTTACGGAAATCTTTCTAAAATGTATAATATGTAGCTTTGGCTTCTTAGAAAATATTGAACATAATTTGGCCTCTGGTTGAATGCTTAGGATCACAAATGTCCTGGGAAATATAGTTCTTCTTCGGTGGCAGATGGATATTTGTCACTTCTATTACTTTTTTACTTGAAAATGTATTTATTTATTTTAAAATTTATTTTGCAATCACACCTTACATTCAATTTTATCTTTTTGTGTTAGTTTTTGGTGTACACTGTAGTGGTTAAAATTCTACTCTTACTTGCCATAATATCTGCTATAGTGGACCTTCCAGTTCCCTTCCGTAAAACATAACAGCCAAGCATGCATGTTGAATAAGAGTTACTCAGTCAATGAGGGGCCTCAGGGAGCAAAGTGCAGGGCTTTCATGTAGAAGATCTATGACTGCTCTTATTTGTGTATGGGATCTTTCACAATATGTTCCATAAAGGATCATGCTCTAGAGGGCTAAGGTTGTCAGGCAAATGACCTTTAGAGAAAAATATATATGAAAGTAGCCAGATAAGGGAAATGCAAGTGAAAACCACAGTGTGAGACTACTCTACACCCACTAGGAGGGCTATAACAGACCCAGAGATAAGGAGCCATGGGTCAGACTGTTGGACTTCAAAGGGAGGGTGGGGATAAAAGGGAGAGATCAACCAAAGGACTTATGTACACACATATGAGCCTAACCAGTGGTCAAGGACAATAGGGGAGTGGGGGCATGAGTAGGGGGGCTGGGGGATTGGAATGGGGGGTTGAGGACAAATATGTGATACCTTAATCAATAAAGAAATTAATAAAAGTAAAAATAAAAATATAAACAGAAATGGGGAAGAAATTTGAGTTGTCATACATTGTTGGTGGGAATGTAAAAATGTGTACCTGCTGTGGCATTTTGACAGTTCCTCAAAATGTCAGTTACCATACGACCTAGCACTTCTATGCCTAGGCACACATCAAAAGAATTGAAAGTAAGGTCTCAAATATGTGTACACTTATGTTCATAGCAGCACTATTCACAATAGTTAAAAGGTAGAAAAAAACAAGTGTCTCTCAACAGATGAATGGATATACAAAATGTGATATATCCAAAAAAATGGAATATTATTACATCATCAAAAGGAATAAAGTGCTGATAGATGCTACAACATGAATGGACCTCAAAAAACATTATGCTAAATGGAAGAAGCCAGTCACAGTGGCAACATATTGCATGGTTCAATTTATATTAAATATCCATAGAGTAAAAAAGCAAAGTACTGATTGTGAAGGCCTAGTTAAGGGGAGAAAGAAGAAAAATTACTTAATGTATATGCTATCTCCTTTGGAGATAATGAAAATATTCTGGAATTAGATAGTGATGATAACCCTATTCACTACCTTGTGTACTTTAAGTGAGTGAATTGGATAGTATGTGTATTATATATTAACTAGAGGCCCAGTGCATTAAATTCATGTGTGTGTGTGTGGGGGGAGGGGGGGTTGTCCCTCAGTTCCCAGCCAGCACCTTCTCTAATCTGGGACCCCTTGAGGGATGTCCAACTACCATTCTTCTTACAACACAGGACTGCTTGCTCCAAACTACTCGCTTGCCTTTGCCTGATTGCCCCTAATAGCTTCTGCCTGCCAGCCTGATAACCTCCTAACCACTACCCTGCCAGCCTGATCAACGCCTAACTGCTCCCCTGCCAGCCCAATTGCCCCTAACTGTCCACCCTTGCTGGTCTGATCACCCATAACTGCTCTCCCCTGACAGTCTAGTTGCCCCTAACTGTCCACCCCTGCAGGCCTGGTCCACCCCAACTGCCCTCCACTGCAGTCCTGGTTTCCCCCAACTGCCCTCCTCTGCCAACCTGGTCATCCCTAACTGCCCTCCCTGCTTGCCTGATCACCCAGAACTGCCCTCCCCAACAATCCTGTTACCCCCTAACCGCCCTCCTTTGCTGGCCTGGTCACCCCTAACTGGCCACAACTGCCTTCCACTGAAGGCCATCTTGTGGCGGTCATCTTGTGTCCACATGGGTACAGCCATCTTTGACCACATGGGAGTGGCCATCTTGTGTCTTGGAGTGATGGTCAAATTGCATATTACTCTTTTATGAGATAGGATGACGTTATTGTATTTCTTAAAAGTCTACAGACACATGAAAAAGCCTCATGAGTGTTGAAATTGGCTACACCAATCTTTCTTAGATTCTCATTGGACACAAATTCTATTTAGTGCTACTAAGTTCATTAAGTTCCATATTTTAACTGACTAAGCATATAATGGAAAGTACTATAAAAGTATATATTTTGTGAGTTTTTGAGTTTATATTTAAAGAAAATTTTGACAGCTAAATTACTGTACACAGGCTGCCTAAATACATTTGAAAGAATAATACCTCCCCCAAATTTTACACACACACACACACACACACACACACACACACACACATACACCCCGAGTGGCCAGATTATTATGATCTCTGAGCACATAATAATCTGGCCACTCAGTATATATATTTTAGAGCCCAGGTGCATGAATTCGTGCATTGGTTTGGGCCGGCCAGCCTGGCCAGGGGGAGGGGACATGGATGGGAGGTTGGCTGGCCTGCCTGCTGGTTGAACTCCTGGTTGAAGGGACAATTTGCATATTAGCCTTTTATTATATAAGATATACACTGAGTGGCCAGATTATTATGCTTTCAGAGATCATAATAATCTGGCCACTCAGTGTGTGTGTGTGTGTGTGTGTGTGTGTGTGTGTGTGTGTGTGTGTAATCTGCTCAGAATATAAACAGTGAGGGTATGTAGAAATATTTTTTTCTATTGAATATAAGGGTCCATGAAGTATAGAAACAGATACTAAATAATTTTGAACTTTTACATGAATAATGCATTCAGAAGATGGACTCTGGCCATGCAATTCATGTAAAATAGGGGTAATTGAAGAAGGAATTTTCATGTGTGTTTTTTAACTCAGCCTGTAACCTCTTCTGGGTCCCTAGCCAAATTCTCAAAACACTTCCTTCAGACTGGAACTATTTTTGGAGCTGGCATAGAAAAAGCTAGATGCAACAATTAAAAAGAGCTGTTGTGATGATGGAAAGAATTTCTCTCCTGCAGCTGTGCTTATCTGACTGTGTATAAAATACAGGGAGAATGTTCATTTCCCCTATATTTTAAATAAGATCAACTTTTACAAACAATTCAGTTTTATCTTCACTGCCTTAGATTTGAGTGATAGGAGTACAATTTTGGTTGTTTATATTTTTTAGTCCTCTAATGTAGAGCATAAAGTTTCCATTGCTTAGCACATTTGTATTTGTATAGTATTTGGAATTCACAAGTGGTTTCATTCCATTCATCATTAGAGCTCTAAAAAATACTCAAAAGCAAGAGTGATATCCCCAAAATAACAATGAAGAAAATAAAGCTGGTAGAGGTTACTTATCTGAAGTTAAAAAGCATTAAATGATAGAACCACAAGTAGAGAAAATTATTTTCTAACTCCAAAATTCATGTTTAAACATCAGCAGAGAACTGTAAATAGAGATCATTTCTAATCTCTTATCTCACTTTAGAATCTTAAACAAGAAAAGCCAGTCACTTTTTGTAGTACTCATGACTCTCAAAATTATGTGCATGTCTGTTGTATCACCATTTTCATAATATCCCTGAGTTGTGCTGCACCAACATTTATCCATCATCTGTGATGTGCCAGGCACTGTTCTAGATGTTGATCAAGACTGGTAAGGTCCCTGCTATCACAAAACTCCTTTGCTCATTTAAATAGAATCAACCCAAGCCACTATG